AATACGCGATATTCGCGGCATGTAGTAGTCGTAAATATGTTTTTCATATCACTAGGGTGGTGAAACCCCAATGGTGAAAAGTGAAATAAACTCTTTATTAACGCTGCTGAAACAAAATCGAAATCGTTATCGTACATTTATACCCCAATATTATGATTATATAATATAGGGAATATTAGAATTTCACCCGCGATATAAAAAACCCTAATGAAAAACATATTTCAAAATTCACTTCGCGGAAAACAATTGTATTATCGATAACGTAAATATATACGTCATATAATCAACACGCAGTATTACGCTACTTCACGTTGAACGAGCAGAACTCCAACATATTCCTATTAAAAAGAAATACTTATATAATCGTTATCGACGTATTGTAAATACTCAATTGTAACCAACGCAGTAGATAAGACTGGAGATGGTGGAGGAAAAATATGTTTCAGCAATATGAAACTTATTCACGAGTAGGAGAGGACACCGGATGGGACAGGACGCTATTCATCTATAGCTTCAAAAATAGATGTAACAATCGGAACAATAGTAACACAATTCTTTACACTATGTTATAATAAACAATATCATCAATATTCAATTCTTCTTACCAAAACAGCGACGAAAGACCCCTTTGCAAGACGCCGCTCCCCATCCACGTTATCAGATCGACTTCAACCCTTTATTACTGTCAACAGCCTTTCCTCTACCGCCTTAAGTCGCTCCTTCGGCACACTACGGACCTCAGCAAGAGCTTTCAATACCTACCAAAAATACATACTCTTTTTTTTGGTAGAAACAGAATTATACACGTTTGACATGGTACATTATACGAGTCACAAGTGAAACGTTGATCATCATCAACCTTAACCAATCAAACGAATGAACAGAGCCCGCAAAGAGACGGGCGGAACAATGGTACGTAGTATTTCCATAGAGTAGAATCAAAGTACATATTCTTTGAAATTATACAAACTGCACACGAAGTCTTATCACTAATCACTAATATATAACCTATTTTATACGTTCACCTAGCGTTATTATTATCATATTGATGATAGGTTTATATTATTTATATATTGGAGTTTCACCCGTTTTACGCGAAGTGAAATGTATTTTTCGCATCATGGGAGAAACTCCATTATATTATTATGAATATTAAATATTATCAAGAGAAGTCGTGGATAAAATGCTCGTCAACCATAACGCGTCCAACATATGAATAGAAAAATAAGAAATGCATTTATTTGTTAATATAAAATTATACACCAAGTCTGATATGATGAACTATACAAGCAGAGAGCTCATCAACTTTAACTAGTCAGAGACATGAACAGAAAAAAACCGAATTATGGTATTCATTAAGTAATGGAATAAATACCATAAAAGAATCGATTTCCAAGTCGGTTTTCCATCAGAATTGTATGATTTACAATTTACACATGCAGTTTTCGCACTATAGGAAAACGAATACTACAGAGTTGTGCTGGAAAAGACGCCACCGCAAATAATTTCATGGCGCGCGACAGTTGATGAGCGGTCGTTTTCGTTTCACAACAACTCAGTAAACCAGTGTTGCAATATATGTTCACTTTCCTCAGCTGACCCTAGAAGTTTCCTCACTAATTATAGGAGTCCATATGCAAACTAGGGTAGGAATGTACAGAAACCAAACTCCATATTGTCACCAACATATGTGGTCCACCATGTGCATATTTTCCCACACTGCAGTAAACAGTCGGAACCGGCAATGCGGAGCGCTCAATATTTCAAAGAGATGCTGCTAGATGCGAAATCTCACCCCTAGGCGTCGAAGAGTTGTAATAAACAAAAGCAGCTCTACATCCCTTTTACACTGTAATTGAACTCTTGCAGTAAGAGGCTACTCAATCAGGCGTTTATTAGAAGGCACCATACACCCCCTTACATAA